TTATCGGGATGGACTTCTAGTCCATGGGTAGTTATGCACCCAGAGATTTTGCGTAGCTACGTCTTTGTGTAAAGTATTATATTGCTGCTCCCTGTTTCTGAGCCAAAATTAACATAGATGGAAATGATTAACAAAATTCAAAATGCGATAAATACATTAGCTCAATTCCTCTGAGCCGAATTCATTCATTCAGTCATTCATCTGTCTGTCTCGTAGCGAGGAAGAAAATGTTAAGCCCGTCAGTGGAAGATAATCTAGAAACACAATGAACCAAAAAATGTGAGGAAATTCCTCATAATGCCGATATGAGTACTTTCAGCAATTTTTACTTCCATCCTACAAGCATGCATTGTCTCAATCAACTAACCCTCGAACTTCGGCGTGTCGTGTAAGGTCTTGCATATTCTAACATGCCACTCGAAGATTCCCAAGTAGCTGCATATTCTTCCAGAGGGTGCAGAAAGTGAAGGAAAAAGACAATGTAAATTATCTACACATTCTCTAGGCTCTGGAGCGACTCTTACAAGTATATGAGCTGCCAGCTCGCTCAGAAAGCTTGAGCTCTTTGGGAATTTCATGTCCGCATTTCGAACTCTGGAGACTTCGCATCGCCTTTTGTAACCTCATAATGGTTGAATCACCTTCAAATAGGCCACCATCCACTATTGTTCATTTAATCCGTCATGCTTCGGTACGTACTATCTCTACACCCTCTCCTGTCAAAGGTCGTATTGGCTAACTCTTAATAGTCGAACCACTTGGAAGGTGGACTCGACTTTGGCTTATCTCCTAAAGGAGAACGCCAATGTGACGAGCTCTACGAGAGTATGCGAAAGCACGCAGGTTACATCACTCACATTTTCTCCTCGCCTATGAAACGTTGCTTAGAAACTGCTCGCAAAGGTCTCCTCGAGGCGACAAACAGGGGCACCAGAATCCAAATCATGCCTGCTCTTGCCGGTCGGAATCGCTCAGCACCCTGGAACTTACGAGAGGAAAACCAGGAAAATGATATCAGTGGTCCTTGGGTCAGTGAGGTAGCAGATCCTAGGTCGAAGTCCAAGGATGCTGATTTTGTTATGAAATGGTTGACAGGGAAAGATTTGTCTGTGCAGGCGGCTCAAAAAGTGTTGGAGGTTGTGGTTGTGAGTCAAGCTCAACTATTGAACGATTTATTATGGAAATTGAAAGGAGGTATGTTATATAATACCAATATATGAGCCCGATCCCCAGAATTTGTCTACTCACAGTCTGCAGGTAACCATGGCTGGCCCAATGCAACAATCGTCACCTATATTTTGGATCGCAACGGAAAGTGGACTCATTGTCGGCTCCAGAAGGCTATTGACAAACAAAGAAATTCTCAACAAGATTGGAAAAAGCAAATTGTAGAAGCAGCTAATGAAGAGCAAAGAAAACGAGAGGAAAAAACCAAGAAAGAGCAGGAAGAGTCTATTGACCTCGAAAAATCAGAGAAAGAGAAATTGGCCAAACAAAAGCGTGAGTTACTAAAGACACAGGTCCGTTTTTCCTGTTCCATTGAACCTAGGGCTTGCTCAAGCAAGTGGCTAATACTAATTTTTCAGGATTTCATGCTCGTGGTTGATCGCGAAACCGATGAAATCGTTACATTCAGGAGGTTCCAAGAACTACTCAAGGAGCGATATGCAAAAGAATTATCATCAAGAGCTCAGCCTGTCATAAAGAAATCGAAACCCGCTAAAAGGAAAGGTAAAGGAAAGCCTCTTGTAAAGAAACCGAAGCCGGCTGCGAAGAAATTGAAGCCTATTGAAGGGAAAGTAAAAGCGAAGACTGATTTAGAGGATTCCGAACCTGCTGCTAAAAAAAGGAAACGAGGATGATAACAAGAAGGCGTCTGTTTCACTATCTTGATCGCCACTTAGCCAATGACTGGCCAGACAGATACTAGTTCCTAGTGAGCTCGAGGTTGCTCGCAATTGTCTCGAATACTAGTGAGCTTGAGTTCTATTTATAACTTGGGCGGTTGGTTGAATCCGGGGTAGCTCTTGATCTTTTGGACTCCCGGGTGTGATTTTCAATTGAACTGTACACTGTTTAGATTTTCACAATACCTTAACCTTACCTTCGGTGCCTTTTGGGTAAAACACCAAAGAAATGCCAAACACCATACTTTGCCCAACATGAGGATCATGAGATTTAGTGATAATTACCTATGATATGTGAACTGCTTAGTTGTATAGTTCGTGGGGTAAGAGGAAGCAAAGGGTGTGTCGTCCAAATTCTTATGAGTCGGTAACTTTTGCTAGCACCAAGCTTAATTTCTAGCCACCAAGCGCTAAAAAGCAAGCCCCGGAAGCACTAGTTCAAACCTTAATATCGACCATTCACTCATAGGAGAAGAATTAATCGGAGATTATAGCACCATGGAGCGTGTTACAATTACCTCCAGCTACCTACCTACCTACCTACAGAAGCTTTAGTAGAATTAGGTATCTTATGGTCCTAATTCACTATATACGCGTTGCTACTCCAGTGTGAATCCTTTAAAAAAGGGTCTCCAAGGATACATATACGGAGTTACATCGACAAGATGTGATGGAAGCAGACGGTATGCATTGGATAGTAGGTAACGGACATCATTATTCGAAAGCTTGGGAGTGGGATCCTGTGCCACGACAGTACCTTGGGGCTGAGTGTGAGCTTTTTAGATTCGTTGGAGGCTGATTCGAGCCTTTGTAATTTCCTAGTGAGTGAATGGTAAGCACTATGTTTCGTGGGAGCGGCTATGCGTAAAGTTTCGCATGCGCTGGATTTATTCTTGGGGGCGAAAACTGTTTTTCTTTCTCTTTTCCTTCTTACTATTCTGTCTACAAACTCTCTTTTATTCTTCCAAGTCTCTTGAGCTTTCATACGTTTGTTTGAGTTTTCGAAAAAACCTATCGTTCAGTATGAACACCAACGCTCGTCGAAGAGGTGCGAAAGTCGCACCATCCCACTATCCCCGCATCGCATTCCATGGATTACGTTTTGCACAGTTGATTTCGGCGACGATTGTGGGAGGTATTATGGCATACTTCATGTATTATTTGCGTACGTACATATGTATATATGCATCGCCTTGAGAATCAACGTGAGAGAAGAATGTGTGCTGACAAGCGTCTAGGAGCTGAGCGAATTCCAATTCCATGGACTTTTATTGTACTCTTCTCGATATCGCTTGCGACGATCGCTGTCCTAGTTCTTACGATCATCCTCTACAATTTTACATACTTGTCGCCAAAATTCAATTGTTTACTCAATGGTACGGTGTCAATCTTTTGGATGTTGGGCTTTGCATTGTTGAGTTGGAATCTCAGTAATACGTTGAAGAAGAGTTGTGATCTACAGACTTGGAGAAGTGGTGTAGCAATCAGCGTCTGTAGGGAATATAAGGCGCTATGGACATTTACTTTGGTTGGAACCTTGTCCACGCTGGCGGCACTGGCCTTGGACATTTGGACACACAGGAAGACTACAGAGAGAGGTGTTTATGTCTTGCCTGAGGATGATAAGAATGCGGCCATGCTGAAAGATGTGAATGGTAAAAACAGTAAGACCAAAGGGTATGAACCCAGTCGGGGAGGAGCTTTCGAAGAGGAAATTGATATCGCTTACCACAATCGATATGGCGATGACGCGTTGGAAAGTGTGGGATACCATGATAGAATGCTTCAAAAATAATTGAGGGGGCAATCCGGTGTAACGAAGATGATCAAATAGGAAAGAGGTTGTGTGACCACTGCGTAGCTTATCTCATAAATACTAAATTGCATAACTTCAGAATATACTTCATTTTGGTGGGACTGCGTAGCCTTTGGCGTAGGATGACTTCTTGCAAAATAAAAGACTGTGTAGAATGTTTTTGAGTAGTGCGGCCGCGCAAAAGAATAATAAGAAAATAATATCTATTCACACGAAACGGAAGGCTGGCTGGGTTCGCCTCTCGAGTTTCCCCAGTACTCGATCTGAGCATCTTCTAAGGCTCATCTAAGCGTTTCTCACATACATGTTCTATTCATAAGGAGATAATAAAAGCAGCTTATGTTCCACTACATGTCTCAGGAAATGAACTCCTCCATGGGTATGCGGATGATTTTGACCTATCGCTAGCCGCGGCATCGTAAACCTTCAACCAACAACCTCCATCACGGTGAAATTCAACCCGAGAGTGAAAATCGTCCCGAAAAGGCTTGTGTCGAGTAAAATTCTATTGTCTTCCATAACCATACCTATGTACCTTGTCCTGACCCATTGGGCCAAGTTGAATACTCAAATATGAATTGCCAATTCCGGTATCTTACTGCAAGTGAAGGATGCGATTTCAATCGAGCATCAGTAACAAGCTTCATCAATGTAAGATTTACCTCGCATTTAGGATCTTCGACCGGTGTCAAGGGCAGGAGCGGGGAGCGGCGTGCCGAGAGCGCTCCATTTTACTGTTCTAGGCCTACAATCATTTAGCATGAGATCAACAAGTGTCGGCACTTGATTGGAATTTGGAAATATGCAGATGAGATTGATATATTGGAAAGTTAGAATAGTGAGATTGGCACCCAATTCACGTCGTAATATTATAGAGGCATCCATCGAATGTACCATGTTATCGGCCAAAGAGAGGCTCCGAATCACAGGGCAGGTCACATCCAAAGCGAAAACTAACTTGATTCGCTGGTGGAAATCTCACGAAGAAGGATAAGACTGCCGGCGGAGACCTTCCGCATTTTCTATAGGGCTGCGACGTAGCGACAGAATAGGATTGTTCTCGGTGGTTACTAGAATCGATTGCCCTTCTATGATTGGGCTGTTCGGGGTACAAAGGCAAAAGAGAAATTGGCATCATGACAGGATGCATGCGCCATATGAGATCCACCACTCACGAGTCTTCAAAAACGGGTGATGTTTGACAATAGGTTACCAAGATATCGGATCACGTTGAAGAATGAATAATTGAGCCGTCTTACATCAGTAAAAACGGTAAGCCATGGCCGCAATTAAACTTTCCATCAGGTGAGTGGATGCGAAGCGTGAATACCAGGTATGTTGATCAGAGTAGCATTATATATGCTTAATTGCGCCTGTGTAGCTTTATTCTGACAACTTGATGGCAAGATTGACGATTTACTTTGACTACACATAGCATGGGGGGCGAAGAAGCCCTAGTATTATATGGTGGTCAGCATTACCTGCACAACCTTGGAAGCCTATCCAGGTATTCAAAGTGACGAATTTACACGAATGACAATAGATATACGATAGCTTCAGGAGTTCGATTGCTGCACAATTGTTCATACCTACCACAGGTTATACTCGCCCTATATCCTTGAGAATCATAAGGTTCTATACTGAAAACATCAGACCTTCACTCATAGATCCCCTCTTTTTGCCAAGCACAGATAAGCTCATTATCTATAACAATTCACCCCGATCAAGCATCTATGTCCGACTACTCCTCATCAACAGGGCCTGGAACGGCAAAGTCGTCACAGGAGGCTAAAGCAAAATCACCACATCGATATAGAATATGCGGAACACCTGTTCGAACCGGCTGCAGGACTTGCAAGTAGGTGAACTCATTATGGAACTTCCTTGAGAATTTCACTCACATGCATAACAGAATTCGTCGAGTCAAATGTGGAGAGGAAAAGCCATTTTGTAAGAGGTGTACTTCCACTGGACGGCGGTGTGATGGATATGAGATCATTACAGACTTAAAAAAAAGAAACACGGCAAAGAAGGAACCTTCTATACCTTCGGATGTGCAGTCTAATACATTCGAGGATCCTTTAGAGGCGACTATGCTGGATTTCTTTCGTAAGTACACAGTAGCCGAGTTTGCTGGAGACTTCTCTACTGAGTTTTGGGAAAGGAGGATTTTTCAAGCTGCTACAATCGAGCCGTCAATCCGTCACGGTATTCTCGCACTGGGTGCCATCCACAGAAATTACACCGAAACCTACCAGCAACCTCCAACCATAGCAGAAAAGCCAACACCGGCACAGGCTTTTGCTTTTCGCCAGTACACAAAAGCCATTCAAATTTTGCGTCAATCAATAGTCCGCGAGCCCCACTCACTAGACATGACATTAATTTCGTGTATTCTGTTCATCTGTTTCGATTGTCTCGTTGGCGATCAAGCCGCAGCACTGGTTCATCTTAAGTCAGGACTTAAGATTCTCGACGATATACATGCCACAAATGCTCCCTCCTCAACTGCAGCGCAATGCGCACGGGACTATTCCCCACTATTGCTAGTACTAGGAGGTCAAATTGCCGCATTCATCAATCCTAAAGCTGGAGTAGACAGAGGAGCATTCTGGGCAGCGATGAAACGAGCCGGTTGCTCAACTTCACAATTTACCCCTTTCCAGTCATTGGAAGAAGCGCGCTATTCATTGCGAACGCTTGGTGCAGATATACTGCATGCGCGTCACACAAATTGGAACTACGTTACAGAAGAAATAGTCACGAGTGAATTTGGCCCCATGGTACGAAGCCATTACGTGGCCCTAGAAAATTGGTCAAATCGTCTAAACGCATTTATTGAAAGGACTTCAAGCAATCAAGAAAACACAGCCGTTGGCTCGACAAGACCAATGCGGATTCGCGGCGTATCATTACTCAAAGCCCACCATCTCTTATTCTCCATGAACGCCGCAGAATCGCATACGCCCAGGTCCAAGTTCGAAGAAATGATCGATTTATCCGAGGCGCTGGTTCTAGAAGATAAAGCTTATTGGAGATCGCAATCCATGCCCAGGTTCATGGTCGATACTGGATTAATTGTTCCACTGGTGTATACAGCAGTTCGCAGTGCTGATATTCAACACAAAAGAAGAGCAATCGAGATCTTGGCACAGGCGCCTGGAAGAGAGGGATTATGGGATACACAGTGTGCGATTGATATCGTAGAGGGAGAGCTGGCTGCCGCAAGAGGCCAAAGTCCGAGATTGCAGATTCCGTACTTTCATGATTAAGAAGGCAAGAAATGCAATAGCAATAGGTCATGTTTTCTGTGTGGGTTACAGAGTAGGTCAATCTTTCATATCACATGGATGATTGGTCGATCGACCAGTAAGCCAATAGGCCGGAGATACTTTTTTCAGGTGCGTGATACCTGTCACTGAACATATTCATCTCAATTGAGGTACGTGTATTGATCTGAATATGGGTGGAAGGATTTCAGGGTGCATGTTCGTAGCCCTCTGTATTTTTCTTTGCGTTTGTAAAATACCGGTGTTATGTTATAGATTTCACTTGAAATGTAGATTTCAACAATCTTTTCTTCGTCATCTAGCAAGGAAAGTTTACCATGTGGAGATAAATCTCGTTTTGAAGTATATACTCGTGGTAGGGTATCTGAAGGTGTATGAGTGTCATATTGAGCCCTTACGAAGTATAACCCCAACTTGAAGCCAAGCGATAAAGCCCCTAAGCCACCCCAACCACCAAAATTTCCACCGCATCTTGGCAGCGATACAGGCTCGAAATCTTGATATTCAACCGCATCAAAACAAACACAACACAAATTCCTATTCTCGAATCCTCTCAAACTCAAACCCCCATGACGATAACAGTACACTACTCTGTGGACTACCGGAAGGACCCTTGGACCTGTGTACTCGTCTGCCTACAACGATCTCCATTCAAACCGTAACTCATTGATTTATCAAGAATGATTTTACGTAGGGTTGCTGGGTTTTCAACAGGGGGATGAATGACAAAGGGGTGGGATTGGTAGATAAGCTTAAAGAATCTGCAAGGTGATATATACTCCGTAGGGGATGTTCCTTGATATAGCCCGCAACTACAAGCTACCGGTACGTAGAAGTGCAGCACACTTGAGCTTTGAAATCTCCAGCTTATGGAATTTGTATCGAGCCGTCAATTGAAGACTGCACACTGCACTGTAGGTGAGTTGTGTCCGACCTGCTTGGTGCCTTCAAGAAGAGAGTATCTCGAAAATGGCTATAGCTAAAGAGAAAATTAAGAACGATAATACTATACCAATAAATAGTAATCGAGTGCGAATACTGTACTTTGCATTTCAAAAGAGAGCTATCATATTGTTTCTTTTAGATAACGTGGTTTATCAGTGAACAGATCATTTCGAAAATCATTTAAATCAAGCTTTTTAAAATATTGATATTTTAATAACCAATTATTATTTTTTTGAATAAAAGATTTTAAAAAATAATTAAAATATAGATTTTCTAATAATCTAATTTTTATAAAATAATTTCATTATTTTCTAAAAAAGAAAGGAAATTGTTACGATTTTCATTACAAAAAAACTATTTTTATAATAAAAATTTTATAAATTCTAATTTCTTAAAACTAATTAGATTTTTAAAATTATTTTATATTCAAATATTTTGTATTAAATTTTCAGAAAATTATATTAATAAATAAAGAAAGTATATAGTTATATATAAACGAATTTTGTATGTAAAATAAGTGACTTATTTACTGATATGATCTGCTCACTGATAAACCACGTTACACAATCTACAGCTGCGATATGCCTGACTGTGAATCAATTTCCCAATTGAATCAATTGAAAGAACATGACGATCCAATCATCGGGAATTTCTGACGGGGATCCTAGTTTCAGTGTGGAGCTACGCCGCGCAGCACCCTCGCTATAACGTGTTTTGGGCCCTTGGCGTGGTATCTACAGATGCAAATTTCCAACAATAGCTCAGAAAAGGTCGCTGGCCCTCAATTTGTTACTGGCAAGAGTGGAATTCGTGTGGACAAAATTGAGAGAGAGAGAGAGAGAGAGAGAGAAAGATGGAAGGATTCGATTGTTTTCTTGCTCAGCTACCATGTACTTTCTTTTCGACCAGGAAGCTTTTTTTAGCCTGCAAAATTAAGAAGCCTGTTTCATCATGGAGTATACCTCTCTCAGCCTTCAGCCTTATCGCTATCGTAGAGTTACGTTGCGATTCTGGTATTGCTGATAAGGATCTAGAATTGTGATTGATGTTTGAACGCGAATTGGCAGCTCTAGAACCACGCGTCTCTCGAAATGGCGGCGAGGTTTTCGAGATTGTTTGATGATTGGGATCAGGATCATAGGGGTATAACTATGCTAGAGTATGGATAAGAGAAGCTTAAATTTTTCTTTGGTTTTAGCTTTCGGCGCATTGACTGAGGAGAGCAAACTGTGATCGGATGAACATTATATTGGAGATTTGTTTGCTAACACTTGAGTTGGCGGTTTAACAGCCCTGATGTTAATAATTCACCACCCAGATATCATTCTTCGCAGAACAGTACAGAATATATATCTCCATCCGCAGATCTATCTGAGAGACCAGACCTACCAGAACCAGTCCTCGAACCTACAACTCCTTTCTCACCCTTCGACGATGGAATCTCAACTCGACGTTTACTGGATGGTAGAGGGAGTTATGCCTCTAGTTACAGCCCATCTTTTCCCTCCGCACACGACTACCAAGCTCTGAAAGATGTAGGTCGAGATAGTCTTATCGATGATCCATCTCCAAGTGAAGCACGTCTACGAAATGGTTCTGGCATGACTTCAAATATGAAGAGAATATGGAGCAAATCGACCGCTTTTACAAAACCACGTCCTCAATCTTCATTTGATGGGCATTTTGCGCAGGGGAAAGATGGGTGGTGGAAAAAACAAATGTTAGTCGATCGAAGTCTAAGATCAATGGCAGGGTTTACGTTTCTTTGCGCTATTATCATGTTCATCATAATGGTTGCGTACTTACCCGCGTTTAATTCTCGGTTGAATAAACAGAGTACGAGTGTGGGTGGAAAAGATGGGGAAAGCTGTGAGAGTATGGAGAGTAGAAATATTGTGAGTAGGATTGTTATATACAATGGCTTGGCAAGCTTGCTAATGGGATATTTATGTAGGCTGTTCATCTTTTTATTAATATTGCGGCGACGATGATTCTGGGTTGTTCGAATACCTATCAGCAGTTAGTAACTGCCCCGCTAGTTGAGGAGATCCCATTCATTCTCTCGAAAAAGGGTGATGCAAAATGCGGTACAAACTCACCCTGGAATATCAATGTTAAAAAATCGGGAAAGTTAAAGGCTTGGGGATCATGGCTATTACTTATTTGCACGTCAATTGTATGTTTCAAGCGAGCTCTTGATAAAGGGGTACTTTTGTTGATTGTTCTACAGCCAGTTCATTTTCTCGCGAATTCGGTCATTGGCCCTTCGTTTTATGTGGAGATGCCAACGAATGTCACGCATTCATACAATGAAACTTTCTCCCTGACTCCCTATCAATCGCACTATTACGGCCCGGCTTACAATTCAGATTCGTATGATTCTGCATGCGTAAGTAACAGTTCTTTTTGGACCTTTCTAGCACTACAAAATAGAAACCTAGGATTTCAACAGACTGGACTGTGATCCTACAAGAAAGAAGCCTTTTATTATGAAAGCCAAATGAAATGTTCAAATCAGGCATGATTGACTTGGTCTCGAGATTCGTTTCGTATATTGAAGGTCCATATCCAGTTTATTGATTTAAGTGTTGCACATCCAGACCTAGATCTACAACTAAGCTTCCCCGGATTTTCCATTTTCCAGACTAACAAAGCTTGTAAATAGTGGACTGCTTTTCGATCCGGGTTATACGTATTACCGAATAACATGTCTCAATTAAGTGGCCAATACAATATTGATGTTCTAGGAAATTCGAGTAAGTACTCTCAATTCTGCTTGTAGACTCACGCACAACGCTCACAAGTGACTTGTAGCTTCTTTCAAATCCGTTTCTGTCACCTACAATCAGAATTGTACAGAATATAAAGGAACAGCTACTGTTGATGAAGCTCTAACAGAGGTCAATTACACCGGCTCGTATGTTTATGTGGGCCAATATAAAAAAGGGGATTGTGCCTTGCGATCAAGTGTTTATTGCGTATTGGAAGATGAACAACCAAAGAAGTGTCGGCTGAATGTTCGAATGCAAGCTTGTTTCAGTACGTACTCGCTTTTGTCCTAAATTTATGGTCTCCATGTTCTGACAGATATCAGCACTTTTTGGCTGTCTTCTAATCAAAGCCATATATATGATCGGTTTGAATTATCGAGCAAGACATAGGGTTAAGAATCATTGTTTAACATATGGAGATGTGATAGTCGCATCTGTCATAAATCCGGATTTAAAAATTCATAATGAATGTTTACTTAATTCTGGAGATGGTTATCGACAAAAGGTATCACATCAATGTCATAAACATTGTAAAGATCCGGTTCCTTCGACTACTGGTGATGATATAGGTCACTGTCAGGTAATGTGATCTTACCATTACCCTTTACATTCTACTAAACTCGTCTTTCTACAGAAATGCAAGAAGTTTAATGATACTGATAAAGCTGCTGGTGAGCTCTAATAATCTAGTCTCCGTGATTTTGTGTCTAATACATCTAGATTTGCCACATCCAACCATAGCAATCAAATACAAACGCTCACTTCTCTCCAATCTTGGCTCTACCGCCATAACCCAGATGATAATCCTAATGTTTTGTTCCTTCGCCATGGTTGGCGTCTCCATCATGCTCATTACTCTCATGGTCAGCACGACATCCGACTACAACCACTACTGTCGCAATCCCGCTTACGATCGGGAATCCTACAGCGAGTGCCAAATCTCACTCTCCCAAACCCTAAAACGAAACTTCGGTACCTGGGGAGGTTTCTCTTCCAGCGCCACATTAGCGTCTCTCCCATCCGACAGAATCAGCAGCGAACTAATCGCCTTTGCCATCTCCAACGGCGCCCAATTTCTATTCAGTCTCCTCTATCTCCTCCTCATCTACAACATCACGCTCATATCCATGGAACACGAATGGGGCACCTTTGAAACCGAGCGCAAAAAGCCCCGCGCGACCATCGTCTCTGGAACCCCCTTCTTCCAATCCTACTTCCTGCAACTCCCCTCCAAAATCCTCACGCCGCTCATGATCTTCGCATCCGCCATGCACTGGCTCCTCGGCGAATCCATCTCCACCGTCGAATCCATCTACACGGATCCCGCATACGGCGTCGAACACTCGGTCTATTTCGTCACGTATGCAGCATATCCGATCTTTCTGAGCACGGTGCTGATGATTGGCCAGACGGTCATCTGTTGGTGGGCTTTTACGTATAGGAGAGAAGGATTCATTCCGCAGATGTATGGCAGTATTAGGGCTTGTTGCGCTAGTACGAGTGAACTTGAAGATTTTGGGAGGGAGGGGATTCAATGGGGGGATTGTGAGTTTTTTTCCCTTCTACTTTTTTCTCTCTTGTGGTTTCGCGATGGTGCGGAATTTTTAACTAATTCGTTTGCGCGTAATAGTGGGAATGGGTGAAAGATTTAGACATGCTGGTTTTTCGGCGGATGGTTAGTATCTTTCTCTTTTCTCTTTTCTCCTTTCTCCTCCTTCCCTTCTCCAATATTTCGATTCCTATTCTCTCATTCACCTACACCCCCTCAGATTCATCTACCCACCCACCCATCCACCCATTCACCCATCCATATATACTAACTCTCCCCTCCAGAACCGGGTAAAATTATCCCCGCAGAACTCTACTGCGGTCGTGACTAACATCCAATACTCAATACTCAATACCCAATACCCAATTCCCATGTATAAATATAAACATAAACAGACCCACGGGCTTCATGTACGATACGAATTACGAATTTGGAAATAATAGATGGGCGTTTCGATTTCGATTTTGTTTTTGTGCGGGGGATCATTCATTGATTTGTGAAGTGAGATGACTTGAATGATTTGAATGAGATGAGATGAGATAAATCGTATACCCAGATAGGGACTTTGTAATTACATCCATCCCATATGCATTTAACCATAACGATAAGGAATCGAATACAAGAACACAAGAATATCAAAACACGCAACAAATTTGCGAATTTTGAAATAGTGGAGGTGAAGAAAATACAAATGAATACTCCGTATTGTTGTTGTTGTTGTTGTTGTTGTTTGATCCAACGAGAAGAGAACTCTTCCTTTTTCCATCTGATACCGGTACTTCTCTTAAATTTTATAATTGGGATCGTTTGAATAATTGGTGTGGATATCGAGATGAGAGTTTTGGTTTACTATAATATAAGTTCTAGTTATTACTCGGTGATTGTTTGGGTTTTCATTGATTGAGATGAGATGAGATAAGGGAAATCTCTATTTCACTTAACTTAATTTGGTTTATTGTAATTTTTAAAAGTTGAATGAGATATCTGTCGCGGGATATCCTTATGGATTTGGATTTGGATTTGGATTTTATTAGGAGTGATTGATCTCATTTTATAAAATCTGAGCACTATTGATACCTAGGTATGTGTGTATAAAACATGAGTTAGCTACTAGGTAGCTGGATAGATATCGGAGAATAGAACTTGGATTTATGAGTGTGAATTATTCGCTGAGGAGAAAAGCCAAGTTACAATGGAAATTCAAGTTCATAGAAAATATTCATTATTACTGCGATCTATATCGCTGCTATGAAAAGTACGCAAGTAAACTAGAGTACACCAAAGCGCCAATGTGTAGTATGGTATCTCGCGCGTGAAAAGTACAGATGGTATAAAGGAAATGGAATGTCGTAGCGGTCGTGTCATTATGTAAGTCCTCCTCTCCTCCCCTTTCATTACTAGATTCGGTTTCATCTAGTCAAACTGTTCACTTCTTCATCCTCCTTCCATTTCATCAAACCTCACTCCAATCGACGTCAGAACCAGGATATCCACCTAGTATCTGCTACGTCTCTGCCAAAAGTGTCTCTTAGCCGGTCTCACACCCCCGACATACCCCTTCTCTCCAATCGCATTCCTCGTCTTCTTCTTATGCATTCTCTTACTCAAACACGTAACGAAGACTACGACGGCGCCCAAAAATCCCGCAATCATCGCCGCCAATATACACCAGATACCCACGCTGAAGTACGCATGACTTCCACTTCCATCTCCATTAACATGGTTTTTGATAATTCCAAAGAGTGCAAAATCGCACGCCATGGCGACCAATGCAATGATGAATGCGATGCTAGAGACGAGAGCCGCGAGGAAAGAACCAATGAGACCGGCGCCGAGTGCGAGGAGAAATGCGATAAACATGACTCCGCATGCGACGGGGTGGAGAATCATCACGCGGGTGAGGGCTTTGGTGGTGTCTTCGCTGGCGGTGCTGAAATCGGTAGATTCGATTTGAGACATGATGGAGGCGGGGTTGTAGCCGATGTGTTTTTTGGTGCAGTAGTCGTTTCCATTTCTGTTTTGGGGTAGAGGTTAGTGTGATGTTTTTTTATTGGGTTGAGATCTTCTCGTGTTCTCAATGAGATGAGATGAGATGAGATGAAAGGGAAAGGGAAAGGGGAAGGGGAAGAGGAAGAGGAAGAGAGAGAGAGAGAGAGAGAGAGAGAGAGAGAGAGAGAGAGAGAGAGAAAGAAATGAATATCAAAACTTACGAATCAACATCCAAAACACAATATCCAAAAGTACCAAATGAAACCACGGAATGGTGGGAATCGGTTCCGTTTGTCAATTTAACCTTCATGATTCCGATATCATTGATGACGGGAGCGGAAATGGTGGTTATGAGGAGGAGGATGGAAGATGCGAAGAGGAGGAATGTACCGATGTGGTGGAGGAAACCGGTCGCCATCTTGAAGGTTGGGTATTGAATTGATGTTTGAGTGTTTCGTTGGTAGATGTGGAAAAGTAAAGAGAGAGAAAGGAAGATAAAGTCCAAAGTCAACTAACTTTGACTCTTCTTCAAGTCTTGATAGATGGATGAGAGATGGATAGAAATTTACGTGTAGATAGATACTCTATCTAAAAAAGAAAGCAAAAGAAGGGGTCTCTTACGCTTTTAATATACTACACTAGCTATCATGTTCTTGTAACCAACCCAACCTACTCAAGAGAAAGTGACATATGAAAGTGGTGCGTTGGTCGCATATCTTGATTCTTGATTTGAGACCTATTGGAAAGAAAGAGAAGGAAAAAAAAGGTTCACAAACAAGGAAATAAAATGTTTCCATGGGTCAGTCAGCAGGGTCAGTGGTGATATTGATTGATTGATTGATTGATTGATTGATTGATTGATTGATTGATTGATTGATTGGGAGACTTTTTCTTGGGTGGCCCATCGTCATAGCTTTTGGCCTTGGTGTGGATGGGATGGGATGGGATGGTGTTGTATGTACCGAGATGCATGTTGGGATAATACTACGTACTAGGTAGGTACCGAGGATGTGAATTATGGGAGTGAAGCGTGATGTGAGTGAATGGAAGGTATAAAAGGTACCTACCTAGGTAGGTATTAAAAAACAGAGAAGTGTGATATTGAGTTGTTATTCTTGAGTTGTCTAGGGTAGCTTGTTTTGAGTGAAGTAAAGTAAAGTTTCACATCATCCCAACCTTTTCTGGACAAGACACCAGTTTATGTCATCATGTCAATGTCACTGTCATACCTAACCTAGTAATTAAGGCCTTAAAATGTCAACTATTTTAGCCGATGCTGGGGAAAACTAAGGTAAAGACTTGGTACAATGTAGTCGTAGCGTGAGTGTCAGGTAATAGTTGAACTTCATATTTACACTATGAACATCCCATTATCTCGTGAGTACATATATAAAATATCTACTCAAAATACAACTTGTCTTTATTCTCTGAATCGAAAGTATATCTTCATATTCCCATCACTATTTAATTCATTCATTTCATCATTCATTCATCCATTCACTCATTACTAGGTACTTGCCCGTCCGTCCTACCAAGTGTCACCTAATTAAAAATTACAAAAAACTTGCCGGCCCCCCTGTAAGGCTGTACGACCCCTTTATCAATAGAGGATAAGATGATGCTAAATGATAGATGACGTAGCAAATTCAGGGGTTCATTTAGTGGCGTGGTCCCTACAGAATACCTAGAATCTAGTAGTTAATTACTCTTGTCTAGTTACCATTCGGGAAAGTCGAAGAGTTTGAGGCTTTATGACTTGAAGAGTTCAGAAAAGAAGAATGTAGAATGGATGAAACTATTTCTTAATTGATGATGCTTACTTGAAAGTAGTCTGATCTGGGTAGGAATTTGGGAATTAGTGAATTCTCTTTTTTCAATATTGAATAGGTATGGAAAGTTCATGCTATGGCCAAAATCGTTGGATTCTCTACCCACCGGGCACAACCTATTCGTCAGCCAGCGGTTCTATTAAACTCCATCTGCCGTGTGTCTGTTTATATGTGAGGCAAGAACGCTGGCTGGGTCACGTGATAACACTCAAAGCATCTCATGCCACACCTCAGCACGCTCAGCAATGGATCGCCAAGATCAATTTGCAATTAAACTTTCGTGCTCAATCAAATACATCATCGTGACAACAGTGTTTTTTTTTTTGGGCGATGGAGAGAGTGTGACAGTTTCTTCCTTTGATCCCGTTTTTATGGATTCTATGAATTGTGTGGAACCACATCAGCCTAATATTATAACCTTACTCGAATCTCATTCCTAAAGTTGCGAATCAAATCCGAAGGAAGCAATGCGAATTGGTGGAGCTTTTGTTTTTTTTTTGGTCCATAAGAAAGACGGTACCATTTCTACTGTTCACACTACTATTAAGTATTGCTGTGCCTACTCGAGGGAACATTGAAAGCTTTTCAAACAAGTGGAACAACAGGCAGTTTACTCGCTCCACATGATTTCAAAGAATACCATCCCCATACGACCAGACCCTCAAACCCATAGTAAATCATCATGACCCGCAAGGCTTAGATCAATCTATGAATTAAAGCTTAAATCCAAAGCCAAGACTGAGGACCCATCAAAATGAGAAGTTTGATAGTCTCAACCTCAGTGGGAGTTTTCAGCAATATCTTTCCATTCCATAGTGTTTGTGGGAGACCAGTGGATGAAGATTCGTGTGCAAAGCGGGTGAGTATGTTGATTACTTTTGTATACGGCTCACTGAAAGCGTTGTTGTCGTATGTCATATAAAACATGGCACCATTCGATAATAAGTCTTTTTTGGACAATCACATACTTTTCTATTCCATCAAGGCTCAGATACTATCATCAACAGTGTCGGGTATGGTCAAATCTCGCTTCAAAGTCTTATGTACAGAATGAAAATTCCTCATTGGAATCAGTCGATACACTTCACAGTATCTCTCTCGCTCACCAAATATTCAACCACACACCACCCTTCACCAACCTTTCTCAACTCAAAATTTACAGCATGAAAATCAATTTATGTACAAGAAAGCCCCGAGTCTCATTCCCTAGGTCAACTTAAGAAGCGCTTTCGCATTCTCGTATGCCAACTTTGTCTTGGTAAGTGTGTTCATCTCCAAACGGTCAAACCATCCCGCAATCTCCACCGTATCCTCAAATGGATAGTCCACACTAAACATTACTCTATCCTCTCCCGTTCTCTTGATCGTATCCACCACAGTTCCTGCATCTTGTACACCTGCAGTTGTGACCCAGAAATTGCGGACCCAGTACTCTTCCATCGTAAGCGTGCTGTTGAACAAATCTTTATTGAAATGTCTCAATCGCTGATCAATACGTGGAAGGAAAAATGGGAGTCCCTCTCCACAATGGCCGAGCACAATTTTAAGAGTAGGGTATTTATCCAGAGTTCCTGAGACCATAAGACGGAGAGCATGAGCACCTGTCTCGGAGGAAAATCCCCAAGGAGATGAACCCAAGAATTCGTAGCCTTTGACGCTGAGAAGTTGGCTAGGGGCTGGCATACGGGGATGCAAGTAGATAGGGACGTCTAGCTCGACTACTTTTTCGAGGAAAGGCTCCATGCTTGGGTCGTCGAGATAGACGATATCATTTGCGGTCCCGTTGATACCTCCATTGTTAGTGTAGCCTCCGACAAAGGATCCAACACCTCCGAGTTCTTTGACACAGCGTTCAAGTTCGGTGGCGGCCTTGGAGGGTTCTTGAAGTGCGTTGCTACCTATTGGTTTTGTTAGTCTCGTTGCAAGTTTAAGAAAGGTAGATGTAGGTTACTCACACCAAAACTCAAATCTCCCAGTGTAATTCGCATTATTCTTATAATTCTTATACAAATAATCATTCACATATCCGGCGGCATAAGTCGCATAGGTAGCATTGAACACTCCTTGAATACCCGGGCCTCCAAATGTCAAAACGGAAATGCTAATGTTCGCAGCATCCATATTCGCAATGCGCGAAGGAATATCGAGCATTTTCTCACCTACATCGGCGATGTAGACGGAATCAGAGTATTGAGGTTCGTTGGTGTTGGGATAGTAAGGGACGGTATAGAGACCATTCAGGAGATCATTGCCAACGTGTTCTTCGAGGGCAATTTTACCCGGAATGGATGTTGAAGCATCGTAGAAAGTTGGACGACCAGAATTCAAAACGGTTTCTTGGGGTGTGTAGTCCGTTGCTGATATGGGAGAAGGAGTGAGGAAAAGAGTTGCCAGAGCAGCTTTTCCAAAAGTACGAACGAACGACATGATAGCAAAGATATTGAACAAAAAACACACTTAAACTCAAACTCAAACTCAAATACTATTCACAAACACACAATCTCTCAAACCCAAGACCTCTAGAAAATCCTCATCTATTTATCTCTCTCCCCCTCTCACCATCGATCTCTCGCCCCCCCCCCCAAACCCTCAAATTACAACCCGGAACCACATTACTCCATCCGGACGCGTCCACCCTCATCCCTACTCCCACCACGCCCCTCACTTCCCCATACGCATATTCTGCACCGCCCTTTCCGCACCTATTTCTACAAATGCTTCATTCCCCGGCTGTTTCCCCCGATACCCGAACTAGCATCTTCATCCTTCCCCCTCTCTAATTTGAGGAACTGTAAATTATTCAATCTTATTGATTTCGTGCTTGCCACACGTTTTATGCGGATGCAGATCGCAAATCAATATTTATAATATAATATATAGTATCTGGTCCTCTCATACCTAGATAGGAGTGCATGTTTGTGAAATTTGAAAGTTGAAATTTGATACCAGGCCGCGGAAACGAACATAACCTGCCTGATCCACATCTAAGAAAAGAAGCTTTGGTCCGAGTGGATGGATTCGTTATTTACGGTGTAGTTCGATTCATTGGATCGGTCTTGCATTGATCGAGAACAGGCCGGTTCTGCTTCGTTTTTGCGGATCGCATCTGGACCTCTCTCTCTCTCTTTCTCTTTCTCTCTCTGAGTATTTGCATTTTTGTTTGTATTGATTATGGTATGGCATAGAGAAATTATCGATATCTCGAAATGCATAGTTGAATTATTCTAGTATTGTAGTGTGTGTGTTCTATCCGGTTTTCCCGAAAAGTGGACGGCGCTTATTTTAGAAATTGATTAACCTTAGTTTGATATCTGAGGAGATTATTTGAGGGGAAATCATTTGTATGCTCAGGTAAGTAAGTAGCTGTCGCTTTTGATTGATGTGGTACAGAGTAACTGTATTTTTGAATTGCGCATTAATGTTTTCCCATCGTTGTATGTACGGAGTAGTGCTATGAAGGTTTTAATGATTGGTATGAATGTTTGATTGGGATGTAACCTCATATTTCATTTCCGATTATGTCTTCGGGACTAAGAAGCTCAAAGAGTGTCTGATAATGAAGCAAGATATCTCGAATGTTCAGGATAAGAATCGATGACAAGAAAGGAATGAAATCGACGATTCCGGGTATAGAAAATACCGATTGGCCATGAGTATGACTGTCGTTGCCCTTTCATGCAAGTTGCTTTGGAGGGATATCAGCATATCGCTGCCTTGTTAGGTGCCAGCACATTTGTGCTCAGCCAATCCTCTTTGATGAGTATGTTGCACAACTTTCATATACGTAGAGGGTTGCATTCATAGGACTGCACCACGTATCTACGGATTTATTTATGAACTTTCTCTCACTTCTTCTTCAACGGCACATATACTTCTTGAATGAAGGATTGAATTGCAAGTGCACGAACATGTCGAGCTCTCTGCCTGAACCAATGTACTCTATTCAAGAGGTCTCAGGTAAGGGAAAAGGACTCATCACCACACGAACAATCCCTATGGGCACATGTATCCTTGCCGAAGAGTCCATCATCAGGATCCCGGAGGACGCTTCTGATACAGCAGTCTTGCGATCATCTATACGCAAACAAGTCGAAGCGCTCACTGCAACTAAACGAGAAGCTTTTCTCTCCATGCACAATATCTATGCCAACGACGCTACCTCGCCACACCTAGGAATAATCCGAACAAACGCTCTACCCTTTGGAGATTCTGTACGAGAAGCTGGGATATTCATAAATGCGTGTCGCATCAATCATGCCTGCGATAACAACGCGCAAAAAGGCTGGAACGAGAACATCAAACGCCACACCATCTATGCAAAACGAGACATTGAATCGGGTGAAGAAATCACAATTTTCTATCTCGGGGTCCTCAACAAGCGCGAAACTCGACAGCAGAGATTGCGCAGCAAATTCGGATTCACGTGTGCATGTCATCTCTGCTCCCTACCTCTCGATCAAAGCAAAGCGATTGATCGCAAGCTCGAGGAAATCCTCAAGCTCGACGAGCTCATCAGCCAAGATGGCATGATGGGAATCCTCTCTGTCCCCTTACTTAAATTCCGCTACGTGGATCAGCAGATTCGTCTGTACAATGAACTAGGACCCAATGATACCGGTCTCCCCAGAGCCTTCTACGACGCGGCGCAAATCTGCATCGCGAATGGCGATTTAGCCCGCGCGAGGATTTTCGTGGAGAAAGCGGTGAGTGGATGGACGGTTCTTGGGGGTGAGGAGAGTCCAAGTGTGGTGCAGTATAAAGCACTGCTGCGAAATCTGGAAAAGCATGAGCTGTATGGGTTGTCGAAGCAGTGGAAGACGGCGGTGAATGAGGTTCCGACGGGGCTTGAAGAGGAAAAGTGGGAGAAGTGGTTGTGGAGGAGGAAGAAGAAGACTAAGAGGGCGGGAAAAGCCTCAGTTGTGGCCCTAGATGAGAGTAACTAGAGGAAATCCTGGGCATCAGGCATCTGAAGTGAGGAGGCTCTGCTTATGTAGCTATTTCCGCATTTGGGTGTTTCGAGCTGTCACAGTTATTTGACCCCAAGCGAAGCTTTGTCCATATTCACTCTATCATTCATCCCCATCAAACCGAACGATCAAATTGTAGAAAGATCAATATACGATTCTACGAAGTTGATGCTAGTCTCATCTCGTAGATTCGTAATCCTAACGCGATGCATATAATCCGTGCTGTGTATTCCGAAATGTTGCTGCAAATCTTGTCTGTGCATTTCTTACTCTGCATACGACGTTGATCATTGATTTCATGGTACCTTGGTAATTATATTCGAGTCTGTGACTTCTTTGTACGTTCTTGGAATTGCTGAATATGTGCATACATGTATAAGATTACATACATCACCTCCTGATTTCGTCCCGAGAAGTATGCCATCACATCAATCGATAGTACCTACCTACCTACATAGAGAAACCTTGAACATAATTAAAGATTTTTCAATGGCGATGCATGAGATAGAATAAAGAATGAAAATAATAAAGTAACGATAGCAGTTCAACCTCGATGCCATTTTTGCATTATTAGTAGAATATTTAGGAGAGGAGAAAATTATTATCAGATTAATTATTCTTCAAAGTGCGCCGACCGTATAATTTCATAAAAAGTCACTGCGTGTATTGGATTGCTATGTGCGATATAAATCGCTATTTCAAGGGCTCTGAGACTTGGGATTATTTTCATTAATGTATTTCTACTACGATACATAGTATAGCTATATCACAGCAACCTCGTCAAGTTTCTAAATACAACTCGATAAATACTTATATGATAGCGATGTTTGTTATTTGTTCCTATACGATATAACGAAGTTCAAAAGCCCTGGGTGCTCAGAGAGATCAGAGATAACTTAACGTTAAATATCTTTGTGTTCTCATACAAGCCGTCAATATTCTAGATCCCTTTTTTCAGAAAATTACGCTCAGATTCTAAGATACCGCCCTCGCGCTTAAACTCACAAATAGTGCTTGCTTCGAAATGATATAGTAGATTTACTGAAACACGGCTCGAGCCTAATAGTTCCAGTGCATTTTAGGTCGTCTCATCTGAGTCCTAAGGCTTTACTAGATTACTAACCTCCCTAGTAATATTATTGCTGTTATGGCACGAACTTTGTGAAAGATTGTCTCGTGCATAGTCTCTGTACTGGCTTGGAGATTATAGCATTTTCGCTATTGGGATTGCAGTTGCTGTCGGTTGTAAATTTGAGAGGCTTTTGTACCACAAGCTGCCAGGCTCATCTTAGAAGCCATTAGCCTCGTTTATAACGATTGTTTTCTCAAAGTCGCTCGTTGGGAAGCCTTGAGAGTGGAGTTGGTACGTAGCAGTTCAGATTGCTGAGAGCACGGTATTATCCATCGAAATTGCAGCCTCTGTGTAACGTATGGATTGAGACTTGAGTTCTCGAAACATTCCGGAGAACATGGTAGCGTTTGTTTTTACTCATTCTTTAGAAATGGAGCGAAAACAAGCATATTTCTAGAGCTAGAACTAAACGCTTGCTGTGGATGCTTGAGAAGGCTTCTGACATCAGGTAATCCCAAACTTTTCGCTCTTCTCTCTCCGTTGTGATTCAGCGACCTCGTTATTCATAAATCCATGGAGATAACAATTTCCTACGAGCTCCCACTGCTCATCTGGTACAAATACTCGCTCTTTATTAGGCGAGTACACGGGTGGCCTCGGAGGCTGATCCAGTAGGACTGGTCGGAGTACGAAAGGCATCCTGAGACCATCAAATATAGCCACAATACCCCCGCTCTTCACAAGTAATAAACCAATACCTATGTGCCCTGTTTCAGTTATGATAAAATTCCCCACTCTCCGATCACACCTTATTGGCATGTTGAGGCTTTCCAAACTGACCGGAAGGTTCGGGCTATCAGTCTTGTTTGCGTTGACGTTTTCGAAATTCATCTACCAAGTATAGAGACCTTCCAAACCATTTTCCACTTGTGGGATCCCCTGTATCGACCCCAGAAATGCCATTTCCGAAAGTATCGTTCCTAAGAAATCCTTTGTCACGTCCTCAATAAGAAGTGGCTTGTCGGTCGGCAAATGCTTCAACAGAAAATCTTTCAGGTTTATAAGCTGTGCGGGATGAGACTTCCAAATGTCCTCTAAAGAGTGCAAATCATCTCTATCAGGGAAAGTTGTCGATAAATCGTCGGTGATGAAATCAACCCTTACACCTCCAAGTCCAATAAAGGGTAGGCTTTCCTTATCGTAAGAGAGACATTTCGGAAGACTTGTGGCTGATTGGAAGTTTTCGAGTGAAAGTTTACCCTCCGAATTAGTGCTGCACCTCCAGTCAGGAACCCAACTAGGCAGTCTGACAGTCATACCCTGACGAAGATGACTCTTACTATCACCTGTCCTAAGAGCTTCTTGGAGAAAAATTTCAAGGTCAATTGATTCCAAGGCTTTGAGTGCAAATTCGAAGTAAACGCTTTCCCCAGTGCCTTCATAGTTCACCTCGAACCCAAAATCGTCATTGGATTGTAACCCCAGTAAGCCAAAGATTCTATCCATATCATTATAACAAGCTTTCAGAGGTGAGAAGTTGGCCACGATATGGAATAGATTGCATTCGATTAAACGAGTCTTGTTTCCTCCATGACCAGTCAAAATGCTGTGAAAGTTTTCTCGGAGATCACTCAGAAAAATCAGAGGTATCCAGACCCTAGAGAACTCAAATTTAGAGCTATTTCGAGATAGCATAATAAAAACCTTCAAAGATAGTATTAATGTATCTAAATCCAGAGTATCACGTCCCAAAAATACTTTGACTTTGCACGGAAGCACGGACTCCTGGATGATCCAAAGGCGTTCAAACCACGGTAGCTGGAGTAAAGTAATAATTGCAGGGCTAATAGCATAAGCAAATTGCAGGAGTTGAGATCCAACTTCATCCTCAGGAGGTACGACTCTAAGCTTTTGAAACACTTCGAAAAAGCCTTCATCTCGATTGATTTCAAAGACTTGATGTTCAGCAGCCAGCCTTTCGAGTGTACCGAAAAGAACATGGGCATTTCTGCGCTCTTTCCCTAGCCAAGCCAATGCACGCTCGGTATTCCGATATAACTGAGACATCAATCGGACTTGGTGTCCTTTCTCAATATCATTCTGCTGGTTGATGCATACAGCATCGACCCATAATTGTCACCGACGATCGGGATATCTGAAATGGCGCAGAGCAGCAGCAAGGTTCGTAGTGATACTCAAGTAACCGGATGGAAGATATAGTCGTTCAGGGAATACTGGCGGGCCCCAAGCATACGATACAGCTTCTTATAAGGTTTATCCTCCAGTTTTGCAACGCTCAACGTGCAGTGTAATGCGTCAGGGTTGGAGTTTATAGGTGGCAGGAGATTGAGGATCCTGACTTCTGTCCTTGATCTGATTTGGCAATCAGAATACTTAAATTTTATATTGTCTTCAACCTCAGGTGTTTGTTTGAGGAGTTCTTCTTCCATGGCTAATGATATCTGAAGAGATGCGATATCGCTGCTTGGAAAGCGTTGACGATTCAGAATAAAGGGGTGTCTTGATCAGACTTAATTCAAGCCAGCAATTTGTATCATTCAAGAGATGATGCGTCGTAGTAGTAATGAGTAATTTTACTTCTCTGCGTCGGCTCTTTGCTCCGCGCCGAGCCGAGCTGGACAGTCTCTCCGTCATTTCGACGTAACATTGCTTCAACATAGTTTCAGGTGATTTTCTTTCCATGACCGCAGGTGAGGACATGTTCAAGATAGTCTTATAGTTCTGCCTACAGACCTACACAGCCACCGAGATTGTTCATATTATGTAGGTCATCCATGGATCTCCATTTTTGCCGATCAAGAAGCATGGGACGAGAATCGTGAGCGAATCCGGGAAGAGACTGAAGAGGGATACGAGCGTTTGAGTCGACGAATAGTGTTAAATTTTTGATGATCTTCCCAATGAGGTTTTGAAAGATGCATCACCAAATCAGTTGAAGGTCAAATAACATTAATGGATTGTTCTCCGGAGCTCTTGCCATCAATCGACTTTCGTATCCAGCTAAACTCCGGCCATCTCATCAAAGTCAACGAAGTGGAGATTATACCAGGCTTGAAGACCAAAAACAAGTACTGTCTCCATTTACACATGCGATCACCATGTGTGCAGCTGTGCAAGCTAAATTCCACGACTAAACAGGCAAGTGCGATATATGGGATGATAGGCGCGACACAAAATGATCACTACCCACGGAAATTATCATGCCGCTCTCATCACGCTATTACTCATACAAACGATTAAATATCAGAATACGACACCTCGGCTACTTTAACGTAGATGTTGATTGCCGAATAAGCGGATTTTGTCGAAGTTGGAAAATAGGCAAATGTTACAGACGTAGAAAGTGCTTGACAACATAGGTGAAAATTATCGTAAAAGGAAGACTATGGTATCGCAGAAGTGGTCAGCGGCTATGACAAGGTTATCTCTAGATTGTGATTGCAAGTCGTAAGTCACACTATAGAGATTGTTGGTCCTTTTGTCACATGACTAAGCCATATATTCGACTGAAACATTACCTTTGAGATAAGATCCTCCATAGCTAACTCTCACTGTCTTTCTACCGTCTCTCGCAATTATTCTGCCTGTCAACAGATGGCTTTCCCATTGAGTGTTCGTTTGCTAATCCGTTCTGGAAGTTTGCGAAATAAGTCACAATCTACAACAGCAACTTCGGTTTTGAGTCTTCTCTTACCAAGAGCTCTAATATGTTTGCTTGGACAATAGGACCCTCAAAGCTCTGGTCCCAAGGGCCATGGCAAAACATTTTTCCATAGCTTTCGAGTCGGACGAAGTTGTCGCACATGCTTTAAGAACCTAAGTTTTGCCCAATATCAGGTTTACAGAGGACTCAAGTCTGACACTTTCGAATTTAGAATCGGAGATCAAGACCACAGCGCCTACTTGTGCGGCAGATTTCAAGGGTTACTTTACCATAGGCAACGATAGTGTGATGCCCAAAACAATCACGGCAGCTGTGGCTGCCGAAACTTCTGCTGCCTCTAAAGGTTCTGATTTCGATCTAACAGCGAGCCAGGGTAATAGATTTCGGGATTTTGATGGTACGAAAGTTATTCATATGTAAAAACGCGCATCTTAGAACAAAATCAGTATTGGCATTGGTAGTTCTTCGGTTTGGTTCGCGCGTCTATTCTTTTTCCGGATATCTGCTCATTGTGATATTGAAAACAGATCGAATGGCCTCCTATACTATACTAGAGGCATAAGAAAGCTTGCTCGAATTGGGAATAGTACGAGCAGTTGTGAGTACTTTCACATCCAGTAAAGTAAAGCACTGGATAATTCTCAGTGAGCTCTCAGCCATGCATTGTGGTTATTCTGATACATCAAGATCAAGCTTTGTACTCCGGATCCGTGGAAAATCAATTTGTGCTCTGCTCCGTACACTGCTTACTTTTCGCTACCCCCATTGTTGGCCCAATGAGCTAACTTTCCGCCTTACAATCGCTAGCTGATTAATATACGCTAACCTCTTAAGGCGATACTCACGACGTGTCCCGTCATCGCCCCATATTTATGGAATTGAAGCCGCTTTGCTTGATAATTGATTTTGAATCTCACCTTTCTCATCCTTCACATACCATTCATTATGGTCAGTTTGTCAAAAAAAGAAATCAAGTGATTTGTCAAACCGAAAGACTTTACTGCTCAAGTGGGTAGTGAGGTAGTTTATTGCGATTGATGAGTGGTAAGCATGCATAAGTTCATGTTCGGATCGTCAAAATACCGGCTCCGTGTGCATAAATTCTTCGGAACTTGTTCATAATTACTTTAACGAGGTCAGGGGAAATATCATACACAATACCTCATGGCAGCAGTCACGACTATATAAGGAGGCCAGTCGCCTTGAGCAAGTGTTCATTCAAACATTCAGGAAGCACTCAAGCATCATAAACATCAACAGAATTCAACTCTCGCATCTCAAACATCAATCTCTTAAAAACAAATCACCTCTCACAAAATGGGTCTCAAACTCTACGGTATGCGTCAAGCAACTTGCACTCAGCGAGTACTCACTACACTCGCCGAGAAAGGCGTTGATTACGAGTTCATTGTTGTCAACCTTATGACAGGAGAGCAGAAGTCACCTTCGCATCTTGAGAAGCAGCCTTTTGGAAAGGTTCCCGTTCTCGACGATGATGGTTTCTTAATCTACGAGAGCAGGGCTATCTGCAAGTATCTTGCTCGAAAGTATGCCGATAAGGGTACTAAACTCATCCCCGCAGAGGGGGATGTAAAAGGCTACGGTTCATTTGAACAAGTAAGTCTCTGGTCAACGTTTTCAAGAAAGCAAACTAATACTTCTTTAGGCTTGCTCAATCGAACAGTCTTACTTTGAAACCGAAACCTTCGGTCTTTGGTTCGAACACTTCATCAAACCGTAAGTTTTTACATCACATTTCAATCCAACATAATATTGACAAAATAACAGTGCCAAAGGATGGGGTGCCACTAGCCCGGAATTGGTTCAAAAACATCTCCAAACGCTTGACAACAATCTCGCTGTTTACGACCAGATCCTCTCGAAGCAGAAGTATCTTGCGGGAAATGAATTCACCTTGGCTGATTTGTATCATTTACCACACGGTACACAGGCATTGAAGTATGGATTTCAAGACCTACTCGCAAAGTATCCCCATGTGAACAAGTGGTGGGAAGGAATTCAAGCTAGAGAAAGCTGGAAAGAAGTAGTTGCTGCTGCTGCTTAGGTTTATCATGTGTCTCTGCTGTGGCACACAGTTGTTGAGGGCCTGCCAATCATCCTAATGCATTGCGGTTGACTGCATTCGAGTTGTACGAAAAGGTAGCACTGCCACTATTGAAAAACTTATTATCATCTTCCCAAGCTCTCTTCATCATTATGCGTGTTTAATAATTGATCTGGCCTTTGACATTCGAGATTCTACTTACTTTTACCTTTTGTTATATATCTACTTGATTGCTCCCGAATACTGAACTGTATAATGGCCGAGGCTGCTGTTGCTGCCGTCAGCCTTGGTGCGTTGGTTATAGGCTTCATTGGACTGACAGGTCAAATACTTCAAGGCTGTCAATATATTTGCGACTGTTTCGATGACATTAATGGCGCACCGAAAGAAATACTAAACATACTTGAGCAGCTTAAATGTTTCGAGAAAGGGCTTCGAAACTTTCGATATACCCTCGAAAAGGTGAAGCAGTCCACAGACATATCAGAGTCAGAAGACGAGATCAAACTAGCCCTGGAGCTTAGTGGGCTTACTGTCAAAGAACTTCAAGAGTTTGTCAATAAGTACAAGCGTAATGGGAGGAATGATTGGTGGAGAAGCTTTAGATTCGCCAAATATGCCAGCAGACTCTACCAGGCGAAGATCGATATCATCGGCATACGATCCAGATTGAATCTGTAAGGAAAAAATTGTACCCTCCCCCCAAAAAGATAGCTGCTTACAATATTTAGTATGATTACCAGGGACATACAACAGATGGTAATTGCAACTGCCACCACAAAATCTACTACCAGTGCCTCGACAGCCATAATAACTACACAAACCATCCAAGCTTCGAACAGAAATGAAGTTCTTATTCGTGATCGGACCTACGAAGATGTCACATATGCCATTCACAAAGATGTTTACGCTGGACTTGACCCAATTTTAGCGCAAATGGTCAAGAACACTGTCAACATAGCTCTAAAAGACTTCAATTTCAACAATCGGTCTGATAATGGCGCTGAAACCGTAAGCAAGAACTCGCTTGGAAACAATGAACCGTTGCCGGTAACCAGAGATTGTGGTGGTAGCCTCTTAGATGGGCTTACCAATTCTAGGGTTGTGAAGCAAACTACTACAAGAAGCACAATTAATGCTTGGCTAGCGACGATAGTTATTTGATCAACAACAACAATCTTAGAACAAAGATTTGGAGATGATACTAGCAATTCAGAAGAGCCCCTAGTAACATCAAAAACCACCCACAAGATTGATATTCGTCCCAATTATCTTATACAAGCGCGGTATCTTGTGTTTATCGATCAGCAAAGGAGGGGTTCAATTTTTGGATGTTCTGATATGCGATTAAGATGCTATAATAACGTCCCATCGGATGCTCCAATTGCTGAAGCTTGTCGTATGGGTGACTTATCCATGGTGTGTAGATTACTTGCGGAGGGAAAAGCTAGCATTCACGATATGACATCGTCCATCGAGAATAAGACCATGTCCTCATTACTGTTTTATGTTTGGGAGCAAGTTTATTATATCATCACCATAGTCAAAGAAGAAACCGTCGTCCGCCTCAGTAAGCTTTTCAAGGTTATGGAGTACTTGATAGAAGCAGGAATAGACCCAAGTGATTCTACGCCAAATCATTCAACAGGAACAACACCATTGTTCTGGCGAGTTATACACCGACTATTTGGGTGCCACCCCTTGATAATTCCTTATCTCAAACAGCTTATATGGCTCATTCTCAAGAAATCGATTCATGACCCATTTGAACACGATGGAATCCTGGAACACCGACTTCAGGATGGCCTTCGGTACTCAGTTACTTCTCAATTCATTCCCTGTGTCCAGAATCAAGAGATCTGGCCGTTGACAGTTTTAAGGTCCATAAAAGATGAGTTAGAGTCGTCAAAACAATTGTCTTGGCATATGCATTCTCAGAGAGCCTCCGTGGGCCCTTCTTTACGACCCTCAAGGTCTATATATCCAGAGAGTTCTTCAGTCCTTCAAATTCAAGGACTCGACCTTGGAATCCTACTGCATAGATATCTTCAATTCTTTCATCGTATTGAGCATGGAGCACGACCATCTTTATCCAAGAGTCAGGGAAACAATTATTCAATGCTTGAAAGCTGGTATGAAAATCAATCACGCCAGTCATCGCAACCGTATATATTATGGCAAGACACTCTACTCAGCATATAGAGACATAGGCGGAGTAGAATTATTGAGGTCAATTCTACACGACGCTGGTTATAAAAAACTCGAGATAGATGAAATATTCAAACAAGCGAGCAGCATCATGCTTGAGGCATCACTCAATTCAATCCGACCTTCTATAATCATAGAAAATGGTATACTTGATTCTAATACTTTGGAAATGACAAACCCAGGGCTCTTGCTAAGCCAAAATATGTTGACGCTCGACTCTGGATACCAGAGATTTCTCCCCGGTGAACCCATAACAGACCGGACTTCTGAGACTCTTGCTAGGATGCACAAATCTGGATCGCTGCGCAAAAGAGAGGAGCAAATATTCAACTACTACACAGTTACATGGGACACAGAAGATGATTACATACTTATCTATCTGCTACCAGACGATACCCAGGCTATGTTGCGTCATAGTCTTAAACTTCATGACTAATACAAACTACGAAGACTCATGATAGATATTACATGAAATATTGCCACACAATGAGCATAAATGTAATGTCAGTTAGTGATCTTGCGCAAATGCCACATTTCGATTCGTTGCATAAAAAAGTCTCCTGCTGATCCTCGGCGGATAATCCGTGAGAAACACGACTTTATTATCATTTATTCATGAAACAGAGGGCTTCTCATCCAAAATTCAGTGAAGTAAATGCTCATTCCCAGAATCAATCGAGGAGTTATCATCTGACAATACAAGGATAAATCATTTTTAGCTCTACCTCTTTTCATCTATCTATCAACTTTCAAATGATTTCTCTAAAGCTAGCAACCTACTATTTCACATGTCAGTCGCGCATCATTGTCTGGTCTGGTCTTCTTCAAAGCAAGTTACATATTTTTTCATTTCTTCAGAAGTTTGCGCAAAATTCTCGTGATTTTTTGGTTTTATAGGCTCGCTAATCTTTGAATCCATATTGGATGAGGTGTGAAATCGTTGGGTCTATTCTCTTGGATTATCTAGTATATTGTAATCGATTGTAAAGTAATACACTAGAGATTAATATATTGCTTTTTTCTCAAGTGACTTACTAAGCCTGAGGTCTTCCACTTGATAAATGAGTCGAGTCATTATGCATAAATCCAGTCATGAAAAGAAGTAACTGGACTGTGAGAACAAGCGATTTAAGAAAAAACAAACAGGATCATATCATTAATCCTTAAAGCAAACGCAATAGCAATCTAACTATAATACAATATCAAAAACACTTCATGAGAGAAATTCGTGGTAATCTTATTATAATATCAAAACCAATACTGCTTCAAATTTTTCAGTCCTTGAGCACGTCAGGGGGCTATAGTCGATTTAAGAACCCTGAATTTCTCGAGATTCTTTTGGGTAGTATCAAGCTGCAGTCTGTACCTTACTAGATCACTGTGGAGATTATCAAAACCCATGTTCCGCTGTTCCCTTACAGCCAGTAGCTTCTTTATAGTCGAAGTCTGTCGTTCTAAATTTGACTTTATCTGTAACGATTTGCGCAGTACTTCATCAGAGCTTCGTCTAAGCTCCTCATCAATCCTCATCGTTTCCTTGTCGTCTTCTTCCAAAGATGCATCTAGGACTCTCATATTTTCTTTTTCGAGGTCCGCAGTTCTGGATCGCGTTTCTCCAGATGCATGCTCGTTTCTGATATCGTCTGCGTATCTATCTCTGGATGGGTGGCTGAGAGGACCATCTAGGTCTCTGAGTTTAGTCTTTGTCATTTTCGGACTATACTTAAGTTTATCTCTTAAGTTATCTGTGAGCCTTTCTCTTCCCTTGGACTGGGGTTTGGAGAAGGATTCTAAATTCTTGGGGTTTCCCCCTAGCAACAAGTGTTGTTTTGATTCGGGATGCCTTTGAAGAGTACTCCTTGCATCTGAAGATGGTATTATGGTAATGAGAGTTCTAAATTGATCGAACTGCTGAGGAGAGATGCAGAGGTTCATGATGAAGTTGAAGAGTTTGCGATGACTTCTTTCGATGACTCTAGTAAAATGGTGATTGTTGTTGAATCAAATGGGGAAGATAGATGTGGCACTTAATCTGCTATTTAAACATAGAAACAGCCCAGTCCGATATCCAGCCCCTGTATCAACAATTCTCATTTTCAATTACCAGGCAACCTCTTTCTCAGTCTTCACCTACATGTTATCGACTACAGCCACATAACAGAGCGGCTATCTGATTACTGCGCATATGCAAACCACTCAGATATCTACCTGCGCAAAGTATTTACTATATTTAAGGTATTTCTATCATAGGATTAAAAAAATGAATATAAGTAACTCTATATTATAAATAGTTATTGTCTTAAATGTACTATCAATATTAGGTCATTGTAAGAGTTGTGGCCCCGGCTTATCGCACACCACCTTATTTCGTAACAAAATCCCTGCAAAAATATCGTTTTCCTATATAAATTAATTTTTTTTTAATTCTTTAATAAATCAAAGATATAATTTGAAAATTGGTTATATAAATATTAATTATTATTAATTTCCTAAAAAATAAATAAATAATTTTTAATAATTTTTTGAATAAAGTTATAAGTATTTAAAATTAAAGATTTTCAAAATCTTTAATATATAATTTTTTTTTTATACAAAAAAATCTCTTTTTTTTAATTTTTTAGAAATTCTAATTTTAAAAACCTATAACTTTCTATAAAAAATTATCAAAAATATTTTATTCATTTTTTTGAATTATTTTATTGATTTTCTATTATTTATATTAGTTTTAATAATTCAATCTATTTATATATCAAAATAATATATAATTAAAAAGTTGAAAAAATGAGGGTTTTTGATGTGTTTTCGCTAAGTGTGCGATAAGCCAGGGCCATAACTCTTACATAATATCTAGAGGGTTGAACTACCTAGTATAGAAGAAGCAATCATGGGATGAGCATCACTACAAGACTAACGCCCTCGATAAATCTATAAATTAGTCTGATTCAGTTGGAAACGAAAATTTTAGGCTTCAAGAAACAATGAGGCAGAGCCCTAAGGATCCTTGTACTGATACACACCAAGCGCTAATTGTGTTATTTTGTAACACGTGATTATGTACCTTCGCTCCCAGATTAGAGATCATATATGGAGATCATATCGCGTTTGATCATTTTTGATTGTGATTGGAAGACCATTAATCTAAAATTATTACATCTTTGACTGATCAAATCGTTTCAATCATGATTTTTCAGGGTGCTTGAGCTTGGATCGTCTTACATGATTTGTGCACTTCGTTGAATCATCCGAATTGTTGGATGGTTGTGGACTATAATTTCTTTCACTGCCCAGACGGGCATATCGTAGAGCTATTGGGCTGAGTAACAATACTTGGAATGCATTCAAACACTTTAGAAAGCACAAATCCTTGCAGTCCAAACCAAATTGATAGTCAATGAAAATCCCTCTTATAGTCGATCAACCGGAAGCCACTGGGCCATAAACCTCTGCCTCTCCTGCCTCAATAATGAATGCAAATGGATCTTTATCTACCTTCTTATCGAAAGTGCCATCTACGGTACTTTCTTCGTCAGACTCGCCAGTCTCATCTCCAAAAATCTTTGATTGATCAACGACTTTAGCATCGCCGAGCTTTGCAGAACCCTCAGGATTGCCTGGGATTTCATTGCTTTCCACGCCATTTTCGGAATCTAGCTGCTTTGTCTTCTCTTCACTATCTCCATTGCTTGAATCTTGGCCAATTTCTGGTTCCTGTCGGGAGTTGTCATCGGCGGTGTTCTCCCCAGGATCAACACGGATGCTTCTCGTAGACCCTTGCTCCATATGCAACTTAAGTGCTTTAGAAACCACTTTTTTAACATAGGTAGCAAAGTCTTACGAGAATCTACCAGAGCTTGTGTGAGAGCAGGCGCCTTGCCACCAATACCTGCGGCTTTGGTAAACTTTTCTGTATCTGATATCACCTCATATTTAAGACTCCAGGTAAATGCAGCTAGAGGTCCAAATACAGGAATGAAACCAATTCCTATAGCGATGAAACTGACAAGCAAATCTTTCATGAACTTGTCACCCGGCTCATCCTGTTCGTATCTCAGTCTGACACCCAGGTCTTTTGTCTGTGCTGCAGCCAGATCAATAGCTTGAGCCATATCGAAATCCGCGAGAACCTTCGATGCTTTGACAGCACTCCTTTCAAACAAAGCAAAGCAAGCATATAAATCTTTTTATTCGGCTGTACGCTTGGGATATGGTATTCGGATCTGACATGCCAACTTGAAAGTATCGATTCGAATAGTCCACTGAGGCCGCATCGTTAAACCGGTTATTTCATCTCCTTGTGGGTTTTTCTTATAGCTGGCCTCGGCATATTTTTCGCTTGGTAGCTTCTCAAGAGTTTTGATATACTCTGGCTTGAGCCCAGGCTCTTGTATTGCTGGGCCTTTGGTACCGATATCTGCGAGCCGATTTTTTAGCCGCGCGTATACATTGAGTAGTGTTGCTTGCTCTTGTCTCCACTTCCAGTTGTGAGGGGTCCAGTCATTCCATTCTTCGACAGTTCTTCTGCCAGATGCCAGTTCTTTAGCAGCAACGCCTTTTACTACGTACGCTTTTGGCAAACCCTCCCTACCCCGAACATCGAGTCGGGTAAAAATTGCGTGTCCCTGATACTGGGGATGAGCAGTGAAAGCGGCTGGGATCATGAAAGCCCTAATAGGATACGTGAGATCGATCCAAATGAACCGTTCCTTCGTAGTCGGTAACGGAACTGCGATGTAGCAAACGGCAGAAGAGCCTAAGATGATCGAGAAGTTAATAATGACAATGAAGGAAAGATTTCAAAATCGGCTGACAGCGCTAGATATGGAGGTAGCAAGATTCATGAACCGATGACAAACATGTTTGGCGACTTAACTGCCCACGGCTAATGCTGCTTCTGACGCGATAAGTTCGCTTAATGTCCTCAGCACTTGGGCTGTACATGACAGACATATACTCATAGCGGACGTATCCAGTACTGAATAAGTTGCCAGGAAAAACCTGCTGTCCCGTTCTTGGGTGGCCCGGGTACCATAATGGTGGGGGCCATTGATAAGCCTCATCCTCAGTGTTGTTGTAGATAACCTCGAGAAGCATCCACGTGTAGAAGTCTTTCTCTTTTGAGCCATCGTAACCCGGACTCTTAAGACTGGATTTCAAGAACCATGCTGCTCCTTCACGTGGTGCCGTTGCCATCTTGCTATGTCAATTGAAACTTCGATACAATTGAATCAAAATTGAGAAGAAAAAAAGTAGAGTGGATTGCATAGTATGAACAAGTTAAGTGGAAGTATTTTCAATTTAAGAAATCACAGCTTGATGCTTATGTCTTATGGCGTCAGGCTTGGCCAATGATCAAGGCAAAAAATTTGATATTGCTCTCGTGTCTAATTCCGAATCACGATCTTACACAAGGTATTATCAATGCTGTGATGTGCATTCAGAACTACACTCCTACAAGCATGTTTCGGATCAGCTGGTAGTTTGATGCGCCAAAGGTGTTCTCCCACCTGGAACTTCTGGCTATTAATGCCTTATACAGAAAAATGTGCATACTCCTCCGCACTTCGTGTAAACCGAGTTACGTTCAGATCAGAATCGGACACTTTTCTTGGAATCCAATGATCTTATCAATCAATCAATGTTCGTGTTTGAAATTGATATATCACTATTGAATAATCTACAACTGATACATTTTCTATAAATCATTGTATCTCGGAAAGGCTTGTTATCGATATTCTAAGCCTGAGAAGAAGTGTGGTTCAAGATTCATTGGTTTTGGTGATGGTTCATGTGCATACAATTTCGACCATACCAATCTCCGTATTACAAAATCATCTTCAAATCGAGATGGCTGCCTGTAAAGCATGCAAAGACCTTTGCATCACACAATTTTAGATTGCTTTTTGAATTAAAATTGAGTTGAGTATCGGCAAGCTTCTTGGAGATTCCTGAAATTCCTATGAGGACTAAGATGATTTGACCAATTTGGTTATCCGGGCATCGGCACTGCTTGGGTATAGGTATCACTTAGGCAATATCACCATTTGAGCTGATAAAAGATGCATCTTGGCATCGACTCGTGCTGTGCGACTACATAACTTGGCACTTGATGGTGGCGAGCTGAAGGAAATTTTATCTCACTTTGATTCCCAAATCCGGGGAACTTTGCATGTAGATAATAGCTCTAGCTGCACAAAGATTAATTTGTCTTGGGCGCAGAGCGCATATTTCACTGGATCACCACGTCATTTGATCAACTTCCATCCCCGCATTGTTGATCACTTGAGTCTTACGGCATACCTCCTTTGTCTGGGACACCTGGATAACACATTAACTTCATGTTGGGCTTGATTATAACTTGAACTTCTTGTGTACAACACGCAAATTCTAGCTCCGGTATAACTTTGAGAACTCCCACGCCATCTTCATGTTACCATTCAGCTATATATGCAACTAACCTACCTGTGCATCAAACTTGTTCAATCTAACTCTACCGAGCCTCTTCACTCTTACCCGACACCCTTCAGATAAAAGCATCAGGCAAAAATAATCATCATGGTTCGTCTAAATCTCTGCATAGATTCATCCCGTTACAACGTTTACCATTATGCTTATTCCAACCCAATTAGTTCGGAACAATCGACAACGTCACAACCGGCAATAATCCAGAAGATCGAGTCCAGAAGCTTGAAACACAAGTCTCAGATCTCAGGAAGACCGGTAGCTGATCAGGAGAAGCGTCTAGAAGAAATGAAGAAATCAAACCTCAAGAAGGCTATAGAGGACTTGACCAAGCGTATAGAAGAACTTGAGAGCTGGCCAGGTATTAGCGAAGATGCGCCTATGGAGGTGAGACTTCGCAGGAGGAAATGCTTTTAGTGGCTGTTCAAAGACTAACTGACATACTCTAACAGTTCCTTCAAGATTCGAGTAATGATGCCGAGGGAAACCTTCAACAAAGGGGCCGTCTGATCCGGCAGGAGAAGCTGAACCTTCGACGGAAGGCTGATTGGTTTCTTCAATTACCAATTATTACAAAAGCCGAAGAAGGATATGAAAGAACATGCCAGATTGTTTCTTCACCTCACGTATTTCGTTGATCTATGCGAGATGATTGCTTTTGTGTTCATGTTGAATTGGTCATCTAGGTATTTGAGAAACAATTGAATAAATTTATGCCAACGCAGATCCGTTGACTCACTTCAAGCCCCAACGACTACATTTCAATGTACAATATTCTCATCTCATTCTATAGTTTTCTCCATTCCAAATTTTCACCTGATCAGACAACGAAAAACTTTAAACGACGACACCACCGTAATTCAAATTCCTCTGAATTTCTAAACTTTCTAATCGCAGACTTTAGACCAGATTCGCGTAATCAATCTCGCGTAATTATCTCCTGTTGCCCCGCCGCCCTCTCCTGTACACTGGTACCAATGCACGACATTGAATTCTCCGATTGTACAACACATGCTTTTCTTATCTTATCATTATCACTCGATCCCCTCGCCTGCTGATTTAATGAGCAATTATCGCTATCTTTAACTGGCAATCTTTAGCGCGCAGACCGATCTTGCCTCCCAACCTGTCGTATTGTACTACAATAACCCTGGCAAGGCAACACACTAGATATCAGAACCCATAATGAGATTGAGGTTTGATAAATCTGTATTTCTTTAAGTAGGTATTCACTAGGTTCTAAGTAGGTAGGTAAAATTCATAGGATCCAATAACGCTCGCTTCCACTCATACATCTGACTGTTGTTTCACAACCCAGAATTGCTTTTCATCTTCCGCTCTTTCTTGAGGACGTATCATCCACAATCTACAATCTGCACTCTGCCATCTAAAATTGACACCGATTCCATGCTATCCCATGCTATCCCATGCCGTTTTCAAGCAACGAATCCCGCCCAGCTTGTCTAAACAATCTGTACATAATTTGCCGGTACACTCTTGATATGCCCTCCCTTCTCAACTTCCATCCATCCATCTCCAGGATCATCCTTAATAAGAACAAAGCGCTCACCTTCCACCATGTTATGTTCCGCGTCAGTCCGCGCCGTATACTCATAAAGCGCTTCTACATATTTCAACTTTTTGGCTCCTCTTTTTGGTGCCACAACTGGGCCCTGTTTTTTACCAGTAGAGATAGAGGAACCAGAGGTGGAAATTATAGAGATGGGTCTATTCGTAGGATTCGGAGGGGAAGAAGGGCGTAGAACTTCGAGGTAGGCGGTAGGGACTAGACCTTCCTTGGAGCCATGTTTGATTTTGGTCCAGCCGCCATCTAGCATTGGTTAGTGATTAGTTGGAGAAATAATAGCGGATCCACTAACCATCTGGTTCTAGTATTGTAACTTCTTCGCCTTCGCTAACTGTGACTTCTTCACCACCATTAGCGTCATACGCATATAACATTCTCCCTCTCGGTTCTTTTGATGCCGATCCATCAGCCACACTGCTACCTGGTAATTCGCTAACATATGCTGTTGGCGGGGGAGCCACAACTCTGTTCTTCTTTAAAAGTCCGCCGGGCTTGAGACTCGAAGATATGCTTCTCCTTCGATCAACCGCCGCATCTGGAGGTGATTCCTCGGTTGGAGATTTTGCCGAGATGGATCTATGTGCACTAGCAGCATAACCTGAACTTAATGAATTCATAGTATTAGATCGACTCATGGTTGGAAGTTCCGCAACGCTATCTGCAAGACCTGTACCTGGAGCTTTAACCGCATTGGCAGCTTCTTGACGTTCTGCTTTCAGTTTCTTCTTCTCGTCTTTGGTTTGTTCTCCTGGGCATTCAGCTGGCACCTTCATCTCACATTTGCTGTGGCACGTATAACCACAATCTCTACAATCAAACCCCTTTGCTGAAAGTCCCCAGATGCGTTCACCGCACAAATCGCAATTAGTGGGTATTTTGAAGGTTTGAGATTTGAAGTTGTGACTCTTCGAGCCTAACGTAACATCTCCCACGGCTTCCGTAATTGTTGATGTTTCAACCTCTGCAGTCAGCCTCTTGTGATCAACCTGATGTAGTTCTTCTTGTAAAGCAAAAATGGCTCTAACAACTTCAACCTCGTCCCGCTTATCTTTACCCTCCCTGATTTGCTGCTTTACACGTTTTGTGCTCTCTACTTCCCGTCGTTTCAAATCCACTTCTCTTCTCAAATCGCCAAGTTGATTTTTAGATTTACTAAGAACGTTTCGAAGAAAGACCTTAGCTGTATCTCCCACCATCATCGCATCATCGTCGTGCCACACGGGACTTGGTTCGAATGGCTTATCCGGAGGCTCTTGCCAAGTTCCTACGTTGTGTCTGACAAACATCATGCAATCTAAAGAAGGCTGATTTCTTGGAATCTCAACCAATACGTGATTGACAAACTCTGTGCTACGTTCCAGCATCCCCTTTTCTAATTGCGCCGCTAGCGACCATATAGCATTGAGTTTAATTGTGCGCGATTCGTAAAGGTCCTGTAAGCTGTCGAGAAGGTCTGGAATATACTCATGATAATATTTCTCCTTTTGTTTATTCGTGACATTTATGGCGATCAAGTAGCTGTTTTTAACGTTGTGCATCTCGAGGATCTGTTGTTGGTATGCATTTTGTGCTTTTGTCTTTGAATAATCAAATGAAGATTCCGCCTTCTTCCGTTTGTTTTCGACTTCCTGACATGCAGCATCATATTTGCCTTTCATCTTGCGCAAATCCGCATATGTAGCATCTCTCTCCTTTTCCAATTTCTCCGCATATTCAACGTGGCGTTTCCTTATCTCGTCGTAACGTCCTCCAAGCACCTTCAGTGGTTCTGCCACTTGCGTTATCAATTCTCCTCCAAAGCGATCATGCTCCGCTGCGCGAGATTCGAGAGTGGTGAGTTGTGTAGTCCATGTTGTTAATGACGCACTACATGCAGTTGGTCAACAGTTGCACGCCAATTTCTAGGTACAGTATCTCAAACCTCTCTAATGATCCAGGAGTCATAACAGGTGTGTCGCCGACACTTAAACTGCTCGACTTCTTCGTCTTCTTCTCATAATACTTCTTTGCCAAAGCCGCAAGCTTTGCGCTGTATTCCTTCTCTATGACGCTCCTTTCGCGATAGAATCCTTCTATATCGCTGCCTATCCAGTTGATACCGTTGGTTACCCAAGCATTTGCCGATTTGAATCCATCCTGTGAAAGCACCAAAAGTCAGAAAAGGCATTGCGAACATGCGTGTCTACTAACCTTCAACTCAAGGCCGAATTGGGGAGCAATGTCAACCTCCGCCATGATTTGTACCGCAATAATATGTCAGTAATCTAAGTATCATGGACAACGTGAAAGAGGAAAAAGATTCATGTTAGATTGAGAAGCAAAGAATGAGAGAATGAACATAAAGGTTGGATCTTGGACATATGTCATCAGGACAATAACCGTAATGAATAACCCGTACGCATAAATGCCCCGCCAAATTACGGAGTATTTACCTTATTACTATAGTTAATAATTATTATTATTATTAGTTGGGCTGGCTGGGCAGATTGGGAGATTATCAGATTCGGGCGGAACACACGGGGGTGACCGAAACGTTTTCTAAAGCAGCGAAACATGCCTAACTAAGGAAGCTGGAGCCCGGAGGTAGATGATCGATTGTGGCTGTAAGGCTGTGTATGTGTGGCTGTCCGCTGTTTGCCCGCGGGTCCGTACGATTTGCTTGTTGGAGGTTTGATCTCGAATCACGTGTAGATTAGCACATCTCAGTATGCACTAGGCGATTATAAGTTAGTTCAACCCTTATCGTCCTCTCAATATCTCAATATCTCTACCAGGTAATCCTTCACAACAAATCAATCAAACATCTTCAGAACAAAACAGTTTACCCCTCCCCCGCAATTAAATTATTCATAAAGAAGAAATATCATATTCCCAGCATTTCAATCTATTAGACTAACACAAAATTCCAAAATGTCTGAATCCAAGAGCACATCTTGGGCAGATGAGGTTGCATCACCCACTACTGAAAAAAATGAGGGAAACCCTTTGGAGGAAGCGCAACTTGATGGTGCTACTGAGCCTTTGGGAGGTGGTACTCTTCAGGACGGTCAATATGAGGTTGAGGTTAAGCTCAGCGATATTCAAGGCGATCAAACAAGTCCCTTGTATTCTGTAGAGACATTCGAGCAGTTGGGAATGTAAGTGTGAGCTTCACTTTTGCAGAGTCTGAGCTGATCTATCCTACTAGTGATGCCTCAATTCTCAAAGGTCTTTATGCGATGAATTTCAAAAAGCCTTCCAAGATCCAAGAAAAAGCCCTTCCACTCTTACTTCGTAACCCGCCAACAAATATGATTGCGCAATCACAATCAGGCACAGGAAAGACTGCCGCGTTCGTTATCACTATTTTATCACGTCTCGACTTTTCGAAGCCAACTACTCCCCAAGCATTATGTTTAGCACCAAGTCGTGAACTTGCCCGCCAAATCGAAGGCGTCATTAGAAGCATTGGACAATTTGTTGATGGCTTGACTGTACAAGCAGCCATTCCAGGTGCGGTGGAGCGAAACACCAAAGTAAATGCAATGGTTATTGTAGGGACACCTGGTACGGTAATGGACTTGATCAAGAGAAGATCGATCGACGCATCTCAGATGAAAATACTATGTTTGGATGAGGCAGACAACATGTTGGATCAGCAAGGTCTCGGAGATCAGTGCATGCGAGTTAAGTCGTAAGTTTGGTCTTTTCGAAGTTTGTGTTACGTATCCTAATCTGTTTTAGGATGATTCGAGTCGAGCAGATCCTACTCTTTTCCGCGACTTTTCCCGATGAGGTCTACGGCTTTGCTCAGGATTTTTCGCCTCGTGCCAACGAGATCAAGTTGAAACGCGATGAACTCACCGTGTCTGGAATCAAGCAGATGTTTATGGATTGTCCCAACGAGGTCGGGAAGTATGAGATCCTAGTCAAGCTTTATGGTCTAATGACGATCGGTTCCTCAATCATTTTCGTCAAGGTATTTGATGCTGAATGTACTTTCTCGATAATGATACTAATAAAGATTACAGCGAAGAGATACAGCCAGTAATATTGCTGAACGTTTGACAA